AGAAACCAAAAGTATGAAGTTTGATGGAAAACTTATAGAATTGCTCTCCCGCAAAGTTAGCAGTCTCAGCAATATTTATGCATCTGTGATTTCGCCTACTTTACGCCCTATTTTTAACCAATTCCATTGTTCCAGTCAACCAAGTTCAGCTATTTCGCTAGTATTCCTTCTATTCTGTTGGTTGATTACAAGAAACTGCCAACTTTCAACTACCCAATTAAGTGTTCAGAAATTGGTAATTTGCCCAGTTTCACACAAATTTTAAGAAAAGCCAATTTCAAAATAAGGTCAAAAATAAAGAATGTAGACATTCCTGGCACTAAAATAACATTTCCTCTGTTCATTAGTCACATCTCTAGGCCCATCTTATATTACGCTGGCTTTCCATTTTGAATTTTTATTCACACAAAAAAAAATAGAAAAATTACTGTTATGCAGACTACTGCATTATTATAATAATTGTATAATGTCATCCCAATCGTGAATGTGCATTAGACCGGCCAGTTGGATGCATATTGGACAAGTGACATCATTTGTGTACCCTGGAATATCAGCAAAAATCGAACATTTCCGCTACTTCGTGCTCAGTTTCAATATACTTCATCCTGAAATTAATCAAAATCATCTCTATTTCTGTAATATATTTTCCATTCTATAAATTGAGACTAAGAAACTTAGACTACAACCATAAAAACTATATGAAAATACACTGCAAAGTTGCTGTTTTACACCAAAAACCTGGCCATCATAGTAGTGGACAGTCTTCTGGCCATCATAGTAGTGGACAGTCTTCTGGCCATCATAGTAGTGGACAGTCTTCTGACCATCATAGTAGTGGACAGTCTTCTGGCCATCATAGTAGTGGACAGTCTTCTGGCCATCATAGTAGTGGACAGTCTTCTGGTCATCATAGTAGTGGACAGTCTTCTGGCCATCATAGTAGTGGACAGTCTTCTGGTCATCATAGTAGTGGACAGTCTTCTGGTCATCATAGTAGTGGAGTCTTCTGGCCATCATAGTAGTGGACAGTCTTCTGGTCATCATAGTAGTGGACAGTCTTCTGTTCATCATCATAGTGGACAGTCTTCTGGTCATCATAGTAGTGGACAGTCTTCTGGTCATCATAGTAGTGGACAGTCTTCTGGTCATCATAGTAGTGGACAGTCTTCTGGCCATCATAGTAGTGGACAGTCTTCTGGTCATCATAGTAGTGGACAGTCTTCTGGTCATCATAGTAGTGGACAGTCTTCTGGTCATCATAGTAGTGGACAGTCTTCTAGTCATCATAGTAGTGGACAGTCTTCTGGTTATCATAGTGGACAGTCTTCTGGTTATCATACTAGTGGACAGTCTTCTGGTTATCATAGTAGTGGACAGTCTTCTGGTTATCATAGTAGTGGACAGTCTTCTGGTCATCACAGTAGTGGACAATGTTTTCTCATCACATTAGTGGACAGTGTTCTGGTCATCACAGTAGTGGACAATGTTCTGGTCATCACAGTAGTGGACAATGTTCTGGTCATCACAGTAGTGGACATTGTTCTGGTCATCACATTAGTGGACAGTGTTCTGGTTATCACAGTAGTGGACAGTCTTCTGGTCATCACAGTAGTGGACAGTCTTCTGGTTATCACAGTAGTGGACAGTCTTCTGGTCATCACAGTAGTGGACAATGTTTTCTCATCACAGTAGTGGACAATGTTCTGGTCATCATAGTAGTGGACAGTGTTCTGGTCATCACAGTAGTGGACAATGTTTTCTCATCACAGTAGTGGACAGTCTTCTGGTTATCACAGTAGTGGATAATGTTTTCTCATCACAGTAGTAGATAATGTTCTGGTCATCATAGTAGTGGACAGTGTTCTGGTCATCACAGTAGTGGACAGTCTTCTGGTCATCACAGTAGTGGACAGTCTTCTGGTCATCACAGTAGTGGACAGTCTTCTGGTTATCACAGTATTGGACAGTATTTTCTCATCACAGTAGTGGACAGTGTTCTGGTCATCACAGTAGTGGACAATGTTCTCTCATCACAGTAGTGGACAATGTTCTCTCATCACAGTAGTGGACAGTGTTCTGGTCATCACAGTAGTGGATAGTATTCTGGTCATCACAGTTGTGGACAGTGTTCTCTCATCAAAGTAGTGGACAGTGTTCTGGTCATCACAGTAGTGGATAGTATTCTGGTCATCACAGTAGTGGACAATGGTTTCTCATCACAGTAGTGGACAGTGGTCTGGTCATCACAGTAGTGGATAGTATTCTGGTCATCACAGTAGTGGACAGTGTTCTCTCATCAAAGTAGTGGACAGTGTTCTGGTCATCACAGTAGTGGATAGTATTCTGGTCATCACAGTAGTGGACAGTGTTTTCTCATCACAGTAGTGGACAGTGTTCTGGTCATCACAGTAGTGGATAGTATTCTGGTCATCACAGTAGTGGACAGTGTTCTCTCATCAAAGTAGTGGACAGTGCTCTGTCATCACAGTAGTGGACAGTGTTCTGTCATCACAGTAGTGGACAGTGTTCTGTCATCACAGTAGTGGAAAGTGTTCTGTCATCACAGTAGTGGACAGTGTTCTGTCATCAAAGTAGTAGACAGTGCTCTGTCATCACAGTAGTGGACAGTGTTCTGTCATCACAGTAGTGGACAATGTTCTGTCATCACAGTAGTGGACAGTGTTCTGTCATCACAATAGTGGACAGTGTTCTGTCATCACAGTAGTGCACAGTGTTCTGTCATCACAGTAGTGGACAATGTTCTGTCATCACAGTAATGGACAATGTTCTGTCATCACAGTAGTGGACAATGTTCTGTCATCACAGTAGTGGACAGTGTTTTCTCATCACAGTAGTGGACAATGTTCTGTCATCACAGTAGTGGACAATGTTCTGTCATCACAGTAGTGGACAGTGTTCTGTCATCACAGTAGTGGACAGTGTTCTGTCATCACAGTAGTGGACAATGTTCTGTCATCACAGTAGTGGACAGTGTTCTGTCATCACAGTAGTGAACAGTGTTCTGTCATCACAGTAGTGGACAGTGTTCTGTCATCACAGTAGTGGACAATGTTCTGTCATCACAGTAGTGGACAGTGTTCTGTCATCACAGTAGTGAACAGTGTTCTGTCATCACAGTAGTGGAAAGTGTTCTGTCATCACAGTAGTGGACAATTGTGTAACAAACGAACTTTATTGTTTCCTAATCAGTTGACTCAGCAGATTTTTGTCCCATATTTCCAAAGTCTGTTAAATCTAGGTGTGTTAAATGAAGGGGGTTATTGTTAATATTTAACCCTTTGACTGTTTCAGGCCCCTCTCTGAAACTGTCATTCTATGTCGCTCAATTTTTGAAAAAAAAAAAATTATTTTTTCTTATGAAATGATAGAGAATCTTTTCCCGATGGTAATGACACCAAAAGTTCGAAATTTGGTCGAAAACTCATGGAATTATGCTCCTGCGAAGTTAGCGGTCTCGGCAACATATGCGTATCGGCGATTTCGCCCACTTTGAGCCCTATTTTCAGCCAATCCCATTGTTCCAGTTGACCAAACTCATAGCTATTTCTTTAGAACTCCATTTTATCTATCAGCTGAGTACAAGAAACCTCCCATTTACTAATTTGGACTACCCAATATGGTGGTCAGAAATTGGCAATTTGGCCAATTTCACGCAAAATAAAAAAGATGCCAATTTCAAAATAGGGTCCAGAATAAACAAGGTAGACATTCGTGGCACTAAAATAACATATGCTCTGTTCATTATTCATATATCTAGGCCCCTCTTGTATTATTATTGCTTTCTATTTTGATTTTTTATTCATACAAAAAAATACAAAATTTACTGTTATGCAGACTACTGCATTATTGTAAAAATGGTATAAATAATATCAGTGCACTAGTGAAAGAATATTAGACTCCCCAGTTGACGTGTATTGGACGTGTGGTGTGATTTATTTACTCCTGAACATTGGTAAAAATCGAACATTTCCGCTACTTTGAGCTCAGTTTCAAGGTCGTTTTCATCGTCAAACTAATGAAAGTCATCTCTATTTCTGTAATATGTTTTCCATTTTATCACCTAAGACCATGAAAACGCGAATACAACGATAAATACTATACGAAAATACACCTCAAAGTTGGCGCTTTATTCCAAAAAAACGATCAGAGTCTTTTTTTTCTCATTACGCAATGTGTGCTGCAGGATTTTTTTCATGTGGTGCACACTGACCACACAGACCCATTCTCTCACATGTGGGCCTACCAGCTTTCTCCCGCTTGATTTGAAGCCGCTAGAATTATTGAGTATATAGTATATGTCAGAAACATTGGCTCGTAAGACGTATTTATACGTCGAAAACAGTCAAAGGGTTAATCAGTTAGTTGTCAGTATTGGAGCTGGAATTAGTCTCAAAAACTATGACTTTTCCTTTTTTGTTTTTTGTAATGTTCTTTGAAATGAAATTGTTGTATAATTTCATGCAAGGTTGTATTGATGACTGCCTCATCAAGCATATGCAAATGAGAAAATAAAACAAAATGGAAATACATATATAATATGAAAGCTTGGATGGTAACTGTACTTGCCATTTGAGTATAGTGTAAGTCCTGGGAGAGCAATGCCTCTTAATGCCCTCCCCACTGCTTTCATGGCCAGCTGAAGCTGACTAGTCTAATGCCTATAATCTTTCAATTTCTTTGTAGCACTTATGTATAAAGATTTCTGCTATTATTAGTATTTTAGGGCTTTATTGAAATTGAGCTATATACCCACTGAGATGTGCTTTATTTGTGTCCATTTTACCAACACTGTTTGGATTGACATTTACAAGGGTTACCTAAAACAATATTTATGGTTGTTGTGTGGTGTTTACTGTTGCTGGTAGCTCATATCAAGTTCATTTGATTTAATGTGTTCACTGAAAACTTAAAATAATGTATACTCATTAGTAATTGTATTTCACAGTACAGAGCAACAATAAATTTTTACCATGTGACTTTTTTATTGCAATCTGTTCAATGTAGAATATTATTTCAGGACAAAGGAGAGTTATGAGAAGCACATAGAGACGTGTACTTTCGAAGTTGATAGTTCAAGCACTTCTGAAGATGATGAAGATGACTATGAAGATATCCAGTCTGATGTAGATGAAGACCAAGATAGTGAACTTACTCAGCCAAGTGATAAAACACAAGTAAATCCAGGCTCCTCCATAATGTCATCTATGGAAACCACTGCACAAATGTCATCAGTGGCTCCACACGAAATTCCTTCTATGCATGTTTCGACACAAGAGTCGGCAGCAAGCAATGAATTATCTATGATTGGAAATCTAATTAGCCATGTAGAACATCAGTGTATGACTGAAGACCCAGCTCATCATACTCACGAATCCAAAAATACAACTTCATTAGAGTTTGCAGGTAATGTAAAAAATGGAATGGAAGAGCCTGCAGTAAAGAAGCAAAGATTAGATGCGACATTGCCGCGTCAACCTGGTGTTCATAGGCAGGTAAGGACAGCAATCAAAAAGTGTCCAAGTAGCATTGAGGATGTGGAACTATTGCAAGTGGTGCGGGGACCTCCTCCCCCTGGCACTGATGTCTTTGTGCCTCCTCCAGTATCTCCTGTTAAATTTAGCCCTATAGTTAAGAAAAGTGCTAGCCCAAGGCGTTACACAAATATTCGTCTCATGCGAGGGAGTCGTGGGTACCAGTATCGCCGTGCTGCTCCACACATACCGGCTCAAGAACATTACCAAGGTGCAAATTCAGGCATACCAATGGCACCACCTGCAGCCCCAGCTCCAATCCAAGTGACCATGCATACCATGGCTAGCACTTCAGGGCAGATACTCGCCCAGGGAGCACCTGCTTCTTTTCAACAGTTTGGTGGCCAGTCATCTCCATATCCTACTGCTGCTCAGCTGGCCTCTCCTGTTAGTCACCTGAGCCCTGCTCTACAGGTGGCACCACAGGTGACTTCCCAAGTAGCTCCTCAGGTGTCACCTCAGGTGAGTCCTCAGGTACTGACTGTGGTTTCTGCACCCTCTGTTGCCGTCCCACAGGGCTACACACTGCAGTATGTTGGCAGCTTCCGCGATGGTGAAATGACTTCAGGTGGTGGTGGTCTAGTGACCTACCCCACTGCACCAGTGGTAGTTCCACAACCACAGTTGGTGGTGACTCCTCAGCAAAGCTCTATGGTTGTACCACAAGTTGTTAACACCAACATAACGTATTCTTTCACTGCTCCAGAAACACTAGTTATAAATTCACCTGCTATGGTACCTGGAATGCAGTCAGTTCAGTATTTACCTCAGCAACAACAACATCACCATCATCACCACCACCATCAGCAACAACCAGTGATGCATCACACAGACCAACAGGTCAGCTCTGTTATGCAATACAGCCAGACAGGAGTCTCCCCGCAGCACACCCAAGTGCCTGTTTCACATATTCACACTGGGCAAGTGCATACACCATGTATCCAGTTCTCAGAACTTCAGACTGGTCAGGTGTGTATGCAGCAGCATCACCCTCAGCCACAGCCACCTATAAGTTCAAGGGAGTTAACATTTAGTAGTAGTAGCCCTAAACAGCTGCATACTCCAGAGTGTATTGTGAATTCCCCAAGTAGAGGAAATCTCGATATGTCGTCTCTAAGCCTACCAGCTCCTCCTACTGTCAGTACCTGCTCTGTCCCAATTCCTCGCCAACGCCCCCAAGCATCTGTAGCACCGCAAATAATTCGCCCACAACCAATTCATACATCAACAACAACTGAGAGTAGCCTCATGGATGCCCAAAATCATTCCCGTTTACCATTTGCGGATAGGCCATTAGTTGGTGGAGTGAGAACAGTGGCTACTGTTGCACCAGCGGTCATCACCACTTCTGTGGTTTCAGTCACTACATGCAGTTCAGCTACTAAACTTACGTCAGTGGAAACTAATCCAAAAATTGCCACTGTAAGACCAAGACCTACTTACAGCTACCGTGATGCAATGAAAGAAAAGCAGAATGAGAGACAAAAGCAACGACAAGAAATCTTACAGATAGACAAAATCAGTGAGCCAGAGTTTATGAACAATCCTCTGGCCTCTGATTCAGAAACTGATTCTGAAAATGAAACTTGCCAAGATGCTGAAGAGAAAGATGATAGAATGGAAACACAGTCATACAAACTTGTCTTGCGTAAAGATACTACTCTCAGCTCAGGATTTAATGTTTTACCAATATCAGGACCTACTGCACCATTACCTGCTCCAGAGGTTAAAGAGTTGAGAATAAAGGCAAAAGTTTCAGTGGGTCCAAAGAGAAAAAAAAATAAAAATCATGATCCAGAAAAGGATCTTATATTTGTCAACAAAGATACTAATAGTGACCTATATGTAAATGAGCAGTTACCTAACTTCTCAATAAATCCCATGCATAATCCTGCAGATGATCCCGCAATGTTTGAAAGACCCAAGACTTGCAGCACCGAGCCATATATTGTATTTGAGCTGACGTCAGAAGATGGCTTCCACGTAGAATCCCGCCACGTTTCGGAGGTGTGGCAGAAGGTATTTGATGCTGTCGCTGCAGCAAGAGCAAGTATGCGAGTTGATTCCAAGATGCCAACCAACTTGCAACAGTCTGGAGGGGCAATGTCAGGACTTCACATGCTGGGCCTAACACACAATGCTGTTCAGTATCTTCTTGAACAATTACCTGGGGCAAAGGACTGTCACAAGTATTCATTCCAGGTAAGCAACTTCTATTTCTGGTCAGTAGAATTAACTGATAATTAATTTCGTAAGTGCATTGATATTACTTCCAGTGCTACTTGAAAAAGATAAAACATGTTTTTATATTTTAAACTAGGAATGCAGCATTTATCCAATATTTTACATTCAGTACTTTTACTTTCACTTACAAATAGTGTTAAACATTGTTTAATTAATGCTTACATATTTAACCATGTTTAATTAATGCAAAGGTTAGGAGGTGTAAAGGAACAAAGTTAAAAATGAAAATGGGAAAGAGCAAGGTGATGAGCTCAACAAAAAAAACTTAAGTAATGAAAGATTGGAAGGAGGGAAAATGGAGGAAGTGAAGTGTTTAGTTACTAAAGAGTGGACTTGTTGGCAGATGGACACATGTAGGACAAGATGAACCATAGAATTGATGAAGGGAAAAAAAAGATGGGTGGTGCATTGAGGCGGGGCAGGGTCAGGGGTCGTCCTAGGAAAGGTCGGAGGGAGTAAAGCAGATTTTGTGTTGTTGAGCTTGGACATCAACAGGCATGTGTGAATAAGTTAGATAGGAGTGGAGGCAAATGGCTTTTTAGAGTTGATGAGCTGTTGGAGTGTGAGCAGGGTAACATTCTGTGAAGGGATTCAGGGAAACTGGTTAGTCACACTTGAGTCCTGGAGGTGGAAAGTACGTACAGTGCCTGCACTTTAATGGAGGGGTGAGGATATTTACTGTTTGGAGGGGCATCTGAACTGTAGTGTTTGCATGCCTCTGCAAAGACAATGATGGAGCGAATGATAGTGAAAATATATCTTTTTCGGTTCACTCTACCTCGTTGGGAGATGGCCAGTATGTTAAAAAAAAAAAATATTGTAATCAATTGTTTCCAGAATGGCAGGATAGTAAGTATGGAATATTGTAGGGCAGGGACCTGCTCTGTAGTGAAATATCAAATATTAGTAATTAAATATGAAGTATGCAATGTACAGTTTATAAATGAGTAAAGCCAGTGAAAGGTATTCAGTGTCACAAGTCACTGACACCGAACTTTTTTTTTTTTTTTTTTTTTTTTTTTTTTGCATGGGACATTGAGAACTGTAGTTTTGCTGCTTAAGGGCTGTTGATTGTGTGTCCCTGGCTTAGTGCAGTTAAAAAAAGATTTTGTAAAGTTGTGCTTTACTATATAACTAAAAGGATTATGTTACCTAGAAAAGAGGGGCTCTTAACATTGATATTTGGCTTGGGGGAAAAAAGGTTTGAAAAAATATCCAGATTAAAATTCTGAAGAAGGAACTGTTAACCCTTTCAGAGTTGCCAGGCCCTCTCCAAGAACTGTTCTCAGGATCGCCAGATTTTCAAAAAAAAAAATATATATATATTTTATGAAAAGATAGAGAATCTTTTCCCGATCATAATGACACCAAAAGTATGAAATTTGATGGAAACCTTACGGAATTATGCTCTCGCAAAGTTAGCAGTCTCAATGTTTACGCATCGGTGATTTTGCCCACTTTGAGCCCTATTTTCGGCCAATTCCAGTGTACTAGTCGACAAAAATCACAACTATTTCGCTAGAACTCCATTTTTTCTATCGAATGAGTACAAGAAACTACCCATTTACCGATTTCAACTATCCAATAAAGTGGTCAGAATTTAGCAATTTTGCCAATTTCACACAAATTTCAAAAGATACCAGTTTCCAAATAGGGTCCAGAATAAACAAGAAAGACATTCCTGGCACTAAAATAACATTTCCGCTGTTCATTAGTCATGTCCCCATGCTCCTCTTACATTCTTTTGCTTTCCACTTTGAATTTTTACTCTCACAAAAAATAGAAGATTTACTGTTATGCAGAATACTGCATTAGTGTAGAAATGGTATAAATAATATCAGCGCACTTGTGAAAGAATATTAGACTCACCAGTTGACGTGTATTGGACACGTGGCATGATTTGTTTACTTTTGAACTTTGGTAAAAATCGAACATTTCTGCTACTTTGAGGTCAATTTCAAGGTACTTTTCATTGTAAAACCAGTCAAAATCATCTCAATTTCTGTAATATGTCTTCCATTCTATAAATTGAGACCAGGAAAACTAGAATACAGCAATAAATACCATACAAAAATACAGTGCAAAGTCGCTGTTTTAATCCAAAAACACGGTCAAAGTTTTTTTTTTCCTCATTACACACTGTGTGCTGCAGGACTTTTTTTATACTGCGCACACTGACCACATAGACCCATTCTTTCATATGTAGGCCTACCAGCTTTTTCTCATTAGATATGAGGGCGCTAGAATTTAGGCGTACTAGTACGTCAAAAGCCCTGGTGCGTAAGCCGTACTAGTACGTTCGAAACCCTGAAAGGGTTAACTGGAAATCAGGTTCACTCACTTTAAATTTTGTAATTAAATTGTGCAGCATATAATCCTCTCACTGTCAGGAGACCTAAAATTAAAAGTGCTGAAAATGTCTGCAATTTTTTTTTTTTTTTTTTTTTTTTTTTTTTTTTTTTTTTTTCATAAGGGACATTTTTATGGGAGTAATGAAATGAAAAGGTTTTTTCCATCAGTACTCACCAAGATACAAAGATGTGAAGTTGATTGCTGTGCATTCTGTATTTATTTTTGTTTATCTTGTACTTTTTTTCCTGGGGTTTTCTAATATTTTCCAGTTTCCATTACCCTGTGGTCTGTGAGATCCATATCATGCACAATGTAACATTGGCTACCCATTGTGTACAAGACAATACCCACACTAACAGCATCATCAATATATTGTTTACAAAATATTTAAATGCAATACCATTAACATAGAGGTCCAGATATTCCACATTACTACTGTTCACACATTTTTTTTTTTTTTCAACAAGTCGGCCGTCTCCCACAGAGGCAGGGTGACCCAAAAAGAAAGAAAATCTCCAAAAAGAAAATACTTTCTTCATCATTCAACACTTTCACCTCACTCACACATAATCACTGTTTTAGCAGAGGTGCTCAGAATACAACAGTTTAGAAGTATATACATATAAAGATACACAACATATCCCTCCAAACTGCCAATATCCCAAACCCCTCCTTTAAAGTGCAGGCATTGTACCTCCCATTTCCAGGACTCAAGTCTGGCTTATAAAAATAGCCGGTTTAGCTGAATCCCTTCACTAAATATTATCCTTCTCACACTCCAACAGCTCGTCAGGTCCCAATTACCATTTGTCTCCATTCACTATTATCTGTCACACTCACACACGCTTGCTGAAAGTCCAAGCCCCTCGCCCACAAAACCTCCTTTACCCCCTCCCTCCAACCTTTTTGAGGACGGCCCTTACCCCGTCTTCCTTCCCCTACAGATTTATACACTCTCCATGTCATTCTACTTTGATCCATTCTCTCTAAATGACCAAACAACCTCAACAACCCCTCTTCAGCCCTCTGACTAATACTGTTATTAACTCCACACCTTCTCCTAATTTCCACACTCCGAATTTTCTGCATAATACACCACACATTGCACTTAGACAGGACATCTCCACTGCCTCCAACCACCTCCTCGCTGCAGCATTTACAGCCCAAGCTTCACACCCATATAAGAGTGTTGGTACCATTATACTTTCATACATTTCTTTCTTTGCCTCCATAGATAACGTTTTTTTTGTCTCCACATATACCTCAACGCACCACTCGCCTTTTTTCCCACATCAGTTCTATGATTAACCTCATCCTTCATAAATCCAACCCTCAACACGTCAACTCCCAAATATCTGAAAACATTCACTTCTTCCATACTCCTCCTCCCCAATTTGATATCCAATTTTTCTTTATCTAAATCATTTGATACCCTCATCACCTTACTCTTTTCTATGTTCACGTTCAACTTTCTACCTTTATACACACTCCCAAACTTGTCCACTAACCATTGCAATTTTTCTTTAGAATCTCCCATAAGCAGAGTATCATCAGCAAAAAGCAACTGTGTCAATCCCCATTTTGTATTTGATTCCCTATAATTTAATCCCACCCCTCTCCCGAACACCCTAGCATTTACTTGTTTTACAACCCTATCTATAAATATATTAAGCAACCATGGTGACATTACACATCCCTGTCTAAGACCTACTTTTACCGGGAAGTAGTCTCCCTCTCTTCTACACACCCTAACCTGAGCTTCACTATCCTCATAAAAACTCTTTACAGCATTTAGTAACTTACTACCTATTCCATATACTTGCCACATTGCTCTCCTATCCACTCTATCATGTGCCTTTTCTAAATCCATAAATGCAATAAAAACTTCCCTACCTTTATCTAAATACTGTTCACATACATGTACAGTGGACCCCCGCCTTACGATATTATTTCATTCCAGAGGTCTGTTCGGGTGCCGTTAGAGACCGAATTTGTTCCCATAAGGAATATTGTGAATTAGATTAGTCCGTTTCAGACCCCCAAAAATACTCGTACAAAAGCACTTACAAAAATACACTTACATAATTGGTCGAGTTGGGAGCTGATCGTAAGGCGGGTGTCCACTGTATATGCTTCAATGTAAACACTTGATCTACACATCCCCTACCCACTCTAAAACCTCCTCGCTCATCCGCAATCCTACATTTTGTCTTACCTCTAATTCTTTCAGTTATAACCCTACCGTACACTTTTCCTGGTATACTCAGTAAACTTATTCCTCTATAATTTTTACAGTCTCTTTAGTCCCCTTCCCTTTATATAAAGGGACTATACATGCTCTCCGCCAATCCCTAGGTACCTTCCTCTCTTTCATACATTTATTAAACAAAAATACCAACCACTCCAACATTATATCCCCCCCTGCTTTTAACATTTTTGTCATGATCCCGTCAGTTCCAGCTGCTTTACCCCTTTTCATTCTACGTAATGCCTCACACACCTCCCCCACACTCCCCCTCCTCCCCCTCCTCCTCCCCCTCCCTCTCCTCCTCCTCCCCCTCCCTCTCCCCTCCTCCTCCCCTCCCCCTCCCCCCTCCCCCTCTCCC